GTAATCCGTATGACACAATGAGACAGAAAGAGAGAAAGAGAGAGAGAGAGAGACAGAGACAGAGACAGAGAGAGATGCAGGACAGACGGTAATGACAGTAACTTACAACAACATTAGTGAAAGTAATAATATTATAATTATGATTCTGGCTGTTGTGGTACAATATGTTGAAAATAAATATTAATATCTGATAGTATATGTATGTGACAATAATCGTATGTGTATAATAACAGTAGAAGTATGACTAATGATAACAGCAGCAGCAGGAGACATCTGGCAGGACCACGGCAGCAGCACAACCACACACGTCACACTATCCAGGCACCGCTGCGATATAAGTTAACCTGCGAGATAGTGGAGCACAAAGGCTCTGTAGTTTTCTCTGGACCCCTCCCAAATCTGCAATCTGATCTCACAGAAATATACGTGAATTGACCACGACCTCTTAACACCACATTCCGTGGTCGCAGCACGTAATGGGTTGAAATTATGTGCTGGTACCACGGAAACAATGCCAATGTAAAGTCAAATAGGATCCTTTCCCGTGGAGGACACACGAATTCCCTCATTCAACAACGTCCTTTACATACACAAAAATGCTAAAGTGTTTTTGATATTAAAACGGCAATTATATTCCTCTGTTATAATTTCCCACCAATAATAATAATAATAATAATAATAACATGATAGTTTGGCTGTACTAGATATTTGGTATATTCAGTAGATTTACTTTTTTTTACGATACTATTTGACAACTCTACAACCGGAACAATCACTATCCCAAAAATGCCGTTTCTAGAGAACTTGCTAAAATATCTGAAAATAACCATCATCCTTACTTTTTCTTGACATATTTCATCTAGGTGCAGTGTCATTACTAGTTAGGCTAGATATTTGATATATTCAGTACATGTATCTTTTTACGACTCTATTTTACAACTCTATTTTACAAGCCACAAAACCTACCATCCCAAAAACGCTGTTTCTAGCGTATTAGCTAAAATATCAAAAATTAGCCTACATCTTTACTTTGTCTTAACATAGTTCATCTAGGTGCAGTGTGTTTACTAATTCGGCTTTACTAGATATCTGATATATTCAGTAGATATATCTTTTTTCAACCCTATTTAGAACCCTACTTTGCAAATCAGAAGAACTACAACTATATTGCTGATATGTATCAAACTGCATGACTCGGTCCTAGGGAATTGTAGTTTTTAAAAAATGTAAGTGTTTTTCCTAGATTTGGAAGTTGTAAATACTGAATTGAGAGTACGCTGTGGACTTTAAGGGGATGGTTAACACATTTGTGTAATCAGATTTTAAATATCTAATTTCTAAATGGGTGAAAATTAATTTTATCCATATTTTACCCATATCTGACAGCATCCCCAGTTGTTGACTACACTCACATGATAGCTGAGGTCAAGAGCTCTCTACAACAGTTGGTCCCATGTCTGTACCCCCTTTCGTTGCTGAGTTATAAGCCATCAAACATGCACTGAGGTCAAGGTTCAAAGGTGAATGGCTCAAAGCAGGAGTCATGGAGAATCTTCATACTGACATATGTTTCTCTCCAGGTTGAGACCTTTACAATGATGTATTTGGTTTAGCTCTACGACAAAGTTTTGATGTTTTCATTTTTTGGACACAAGCCATGCCAGGTGTAGTTTCAGAAAGTACGTTGAAGGCCCAGTGTATAAAATGATTTTTGTTTGTTTCTTTGCTTGTTTTTTTCTTTTTTACTGTAGATAGTTACTAAAATGACATGGCGGCATATAGTATATTTAAAAAAAATTGTCATAGTACAATATAAACCCCAATCCGTCCATGAAAAATTGTTTTAATGTTAAGTCTGCACAAATGCCCGATTGTCAAAATGACAAAAAAAAATTTCTCTTGACACAAAAACTCACTTGTGAGTCTGACATACACACACACACACACACACACATTACATCTAAATCTAAATGTTAAATCTAAATATTAAATCTAAATCTAAATGTTAAATCTAAATGTTCTAGGTGAAACTAAATATTTAGCTAATATGCAAATTCACACTGCCGGTCACCGGAAGTACCAAATTAAAAGCTTGAGATGGTCAGACTGTGTTTATAGAATCAAATAATGAATTAAAACCAACTTATCGGGGGAAAGGAACACTAGCGTACATTAGCGTGATAATAACTACCTAAAATAACAAGAAACATGATTGGAGAAATTTGGAGAAGCATGATTATCGTAGATTAGCTGGGCTAACCGTTAGCTGTTAGCCCCATTAGCGGTGTCTGTAATGACTCATTAACTCTAAACAGTCCGTGAAAAAAATATTTTTTTCCAGCGGATGTCTTAGTTACAAGTATTCCCTCCGAAGGGACACTAACAACTCAAAGTACACGTCAAATAAAATTTCTCCAAACATGTTTTTTGTTATTTTAGGTAGTTATTATCATGCTAATGTATGTTCAACTCTTCATTTCCCCCGATAATTTGGTTTTAATTCGTTATTTGATTCTATAAACACAGTCTGACCATCTCGAGCTTTTATTTTGGTACTTCAGGTGACCGGCAGTGTGAATTTGCATATTAGCTAAATATTTAGTTTCACCCAGAACATTTAGATTTAACATTTAACATTTAGATTTAGATTTAGCATTTAGATTTAACATTTAGATTTAGATTTAATATTTAGATTTAACATTTAGATTTAGATTTAATATTTAGATTTAACATTTAGATTTAGATTTAATATTTAGATTTAACATTTAGATTTAGATTTAATATTTAGATTTAACTTTTAACATTTAGGTGCCACATTTAATATTTAGATTTAACTATTTAATATATTTCTAAGTTAACAAATGTTGCTGTAAATGTGGTAAAAGGTGACATTAAAACACATTTTTAAACATTGTTTGAAGCTAAATGTGGCAAAATGTTGATGTTATTTTCAGCGTGAGCCACTTTACAAACGGCACCCCATAGCTACATGTTCTCTGAATATGCTCTGAAAAAATCTGGTCTCTGTAGGCAGCCCAGGCTCCGCAAATGGCAACAAAAACATTTTGGTCCAGGCTGCACCAACCAGCCAGCGCGAGACCAGTAAAAGCAAGCACACACACACACAAACACGGTGCCCATGTCTCACGGTCTCGTGCAAGAGCGCACACGTGAACGCGGTGCCCAGAGAGGCAGTTAGAGCTACAATCAATCAATCAATCAATTTTATTTATAAAGCCCAATATCACAAATCACAATTTGCCTCACAGGGCTTTACAGCATACGACATCCCTCTGTCCTTATGACCCTCGCAGCGGATAAGGAAAAACTCCCCAAAAAAAACCCCTTTAATGGGGGGGGAAAAAAACAGTAGAAACCTCAGGAAGAGCAACTGAGGAGGGATCCCTCTTCCAGGACGGACAGACGTGCAATAGATATCGTACAGAACAGATCAGCATAATAAATTAACAGTAATCCGTATGACACAATGAGACAGTGAGAGAGACAGAGAGAGAGATGCAGGTAATAACAGTAGCTTACAACAACATTATTGAAAGTAATAATATTATAGTTATAGTTCTGGCTACTGTGGTACAATATGTTGAAAGTATGTATTAATATCTGGCAGTATAGATGTGTGACAAGCTACAGGCTACAATGAGGCTAATAACAGAGTTCAAATGACGTTTTTCCAAACAACTTTTTAAGTCAGGGCTTCAGGACACTTAGATCATTACGGACGAGCAGTATGGAGATATTTTGTCGTTTCCATTATGCGTTTTTGGACATTTGAATCTGGGGCGCCATAAGCCTCCATTAGCCTCCACAGAAGTGATGCTCAACGGTGCTTAGCAACTAAAAGTTATCAAACTGACTTTGCCTATTAGTTTAAGGCCAATAAACAACACTATCATTGTGCACTTACCATACTGTGGCATGTTAGGGCTAAATGGGTGGAGTTTCCCAGCATGCCCTGAGACAATGTTTTTAATGAGGAAAACTGTGTAGTAATATGTTCTAAATCACTCATGTTGCCCATAAAAAAGTGATTAATGTTTATGTATTTCACAGTGGTTCTAATGGGTTACAGTTAATGTGGTAAAAGACATTTTGCACCAAGAATTAAGTTGTATACATAGTAACCAAAAAGTTGTGCTGAGGTGAAATAAAAGGCACCTCCTAGTTCACTATTCAACTTTTTTGCCTTGTTCTTGCAAATGAGAAACCTAAGGTCACCACAATATAATTCTATACTAAAATGGAAAAAAAGTTGCATAATGTGTACTCAGTGTTTTTATATTCATATGATATAGCATTAAATGCTCAAACAATAGTAAAAAATGTTATGTTAATCCGACATAAAATTCCTGTCAGACAAGGATCATGTGAGACATTTATATTGTGTCTGGTGTATTCAGAACTTAACATATTGTACTGTACTAAACTAAAAGTTTTGAGTGTAAGCTTTTTCCATAAAAACTTAAAGTTGACTTAGCAAATCGGGGTTTACAGCGTATAGTACGTAATAAAAAAGTCATAGTATGCCTATGTCATAAAAGAGTCATAGTACAGTATGTCTTAAAGAGTTATAAAATGTTAGTGTGTGCAGTTTTTCTGTGGATCCCGTGATCTCAGATTTTTGTTTCAGAGTGCTCTAAAATGGTCAGTTTAGCTGTTGAGTTTAAAAAAACTTCGCCTGGGGGAAATTCCCCCCAGATCCCCTGGACAGTTGGGTCACAGATGGTGTTGATTAAAATGGTCCCCCAGTGTTGAATAGGTAAGGATGGCCTTGGTCTGGAGTTCCATAGGGCAGCTGCCCGTAAGGCAGCCTTGTGTTCAAATGGAGAGTGTGTGTGTCTCATATGGATAGCTGTTTAAATGGTCAAATGTTTTCATATCAAATCTCAGATCATTAGCCAAGAATCTCTGATTAAATAACAGATTTCTCCTCTCACAAACCTAGCCAATCGTACCCTGATTAACTATACACAGTGGCTTACCTTTGAAGCCTGGAGTGCAGTCACACCTGTAGTGATCCACCTCATCCCGACATGTGCCATTGTTTTGACACGGTTGGGAAGCACACTCGTTGATGTCCAAGTCACAGTGGTAGCCTTGAAATCCAGGCACACAGAAACACTGATAGGTGTTAATCCCATCTTTACAGATGGCTCCATTGTGACAGGGCTCAGACCGGCATTCATCAATGTTCTCCTCACAGTTCTTCCCCTCGTAACCAGCCGCACACTGGCACCTGTGCCCAGTGTCAGGGATGTCCACACAGGTGCCACCATTCTTGCATGTTTCCCCTGAACAAGTGGTCATATTATCCTGGCATTCCTCCCCTCCCAAGCCCAGGGGGCAGTGGCAGGAATAGCTGTTGACTCCGTTAACACAATAGGACTGGATGCCTTTGCAGGGGTTGCTCTGACATTCATCTACATCCTGTGTGCAGTTGAGCCCTGTGAAGCCGTCCAGGCAGTGGCAGGTGAACTCGTCAGTCCCAAGCTTGCTGGTACAGTTGGCGCAAGGTGCCAGGATGCAGGCATCATACAGCTCATCACAGTTTTTGCCCATGTACCACACTGGTCCTTTGGGGCACAGGCACACATAGTCACCCAGGTGGTCCAGACATGTGGCACCATTGTTGCAGGGAGATGACAAACACTTGTCTGCTGCTGCTGTGCACAGTAGGCCTGGTATGGAAGACAAAATGGTAAGTCAACATGCAAAAGGCAACATATTTCTACAATAAAATCTGTTTAAGGTTGAGCTAATTCAAGCTGACCATTTCTGATAGTTGCATCATTTCTGATGGTTGCATCTACAGCAAATTGAAGCTTTAAAGTTGGTCCGATCAATAATTTGATCCAACAGTGGATAAAATGACTGTGTAATGTGAAACAGGTTGCTCATTGCGATGAGCCCACAGAGAACTATCAGCAGGTCTGCAGTTCCCCAAAGCTCCATGGAGCTTTTTAGTATCTTTCAGTTTGTCTTTTGTTTTACAGCTCACAGATCTACTGTTTGGTTCACTCTTACTACTTAACTTTGTTTCATGGAGCAGCAGGCAGCAGTTCTCAATGAAAAATCATTGACAAAGTTACAGTACACATCCTGCTCAGCACAAAAATCATACAGACATATTAGGGACTAACTGGTAAATAAAGCAGAAAGATATCAGAAGTTGGTGGAGACCAAAATAGAGCTAAAGGGAGAGTACATATTGCATTACATTTCAAAGGAGGCCAGAAACCGGACTCCATATCAATGCAGTTTTGCTCTGTCTGTTGGAGGTGTAAATAGGCAACTGTTTGCTAAATGAAGTAATTAATAATAATTAATAAAGTAGCTGCATTACCTATTACATTTTTAACAGGGTAACGAGTTAACTGTAACCTATTCAAAAGTAACCTCCACAACACTGCCGGTTACCACAGTAAGTGCTACTTAAGTACTAAGTGGTACTAAAACACCAAAGTAGTCATAGTTAAATTAATATGTCCCCAAGAATATAGGTAATGGGATGTACTTAAACGTTTCACCAAAAGCCTGACATGAAAGTACTCAACTGTGAATGAGCACATCAATAAGTGAACTTAATGTCAATTGGCTAAAAGAGTCTGCTGCCCTCCCTCGTAAGCTTTAGCAGCATTACCCTCCAGCTTACACGGTGGTCTACCTATAACTCTGACCTTCAACGGTGCTAAAGGTAACAAGCCCCTCTTTTCTCCGGATTTACGGTCACAGCAGATGGTGTTAAAAGTAAACTTATTAGATGACCAAAGTAGCAGCTGTCAGTGTTGTCAATGAAAGTTTCACTCACAACTGTTTGCTCACAGGTGGGAACTTCACACTGTCATGTGTAAAACAATAGTGATATTACTGACTTAGTGGTGATTATCATAAGCCCTTTTTAAACAGTAATTGTGCAAATTTGCAGCTAAGCCCAATCAGTCTTCTTTCAGCATTGGCAGTATAAAAACAAAATCAGAGAGTGTGGCAAAATGCCGCCTACCTACTTTTGTTTATACAGATTGCGCCTTTTTCGGGGCAATGGGGGGCGTGAGCAAGTAACAAAACGTGTAGCTCAGCGTGTGACGTAACAGTGACATGGGAGGGAAGCCCGCCAATCTGGCTCTGTGTGTTTAAATGCTCGCAGCTTGCCCGCAAAACGGCCCAAAATTCGCAGAAAATCTGGCAGTGTGAAAGGGGCTACAGTGACATGTGACTCTGTAATGTACCCAAGCCAACTTAAGGAGAAACTTCAACTCTCCATCTCTGTCTTTCCCCTGAACTCCCGAAGGGGGCTCTTTCTCTCTTTCTCCTGGACCTTGACATTCCCTATTTTCTGGAGCTGCAACTCTGCTCTGAATGTGGCCTGCTCCCGGCAGACACAGAACCTAAAGACCAGAGTGTGCCAAACACGAGGTTTGCAACTAACTTTCCAATGAGGAGTACCAAGTTCAGTTAGCACCAGACTTCTAACTCTGCAAGGATACCAAGCGACGGGTCTCCTTTGATCTGCAGCTTTGGAACAAGGACACAACAAAGACTGCATCTGGAACCACAGTTCTTTCCAACCTTCCACTGCCGGCTAACAAAAGCAGCACACCAAAGCATCCCTTTCCTCCATCTATTCAAGAATTGTTAATGTAACAACTGGGCATAGCAGTATTATTGTTGTACAGGCTAAGCAAGACTGTTTAATTTTGTCAATTGTGATTTAATACTGCTCAATGAGTTGTTGCTGTGATCTTTGTTGTAGTTAGGTCATTGGTTAGTTGGCTTCACCAAAGCTGTGCATTATGCATTACACAGACAGAATCTTGCATGCAATTTAACATCCTCTGTACTAACCCAGACCCTTTTGCAAAATATATTGACACTAGAGCTTAGATCGGGCCCAAAAAATCCAGCCCAACACCACCCGAGACCATGCATGTTCTGTCCAAGCCCGGCCTGGCCCTGTAATTACGAGCCCGAGCCCGGTTTAAGCCCGACATTTTTTTTTAAGGATACAAACATGGACATTGAAGGCTCTTTCTTTCTATGACAAGCCTTTGTCATGTGCCTCTTAAGTGTCGAGGTCCCCATCTTTTTGCTGTCATATAGGCTACCAGCATCGGGCTGCACTTGGTACACTCGACGAAGCCGACACACACATTGTCACCGTCAACAACTCACATGTGCGCGGCCAGTGGTGCCGTCAAGGCAGTGCACAGGTCAGGCCATAATTTCGTGGTCGGGCAGAGAATCTAAGCTCTAATTGACACACATAGCCATACTCATTCACAAATTGCCTTTTAACATAGCTACACCAAAAGAGGAGACTCAAAGTTCCCACTTCTTCTCCTTTGTCTTTGTCCTGACTGACCACACGTTCAGGCAAACCTTCCCCAATCTGAAGCTGTCTTTGACTCAGCCATCTTGTAGTTTTCTTTTGTCAGCCATTTTGTTGTGTGGCCAGGCGGCCTGTGTTTCACACACACCTTTGTGTGTGTGTGTGTCTCTCTCTCTCTCTCTCTCTCTCTCTCTCTCTCTCTCTCACTCACACACACACACACACACACACACATATAGCCTACACCCATGCTCGTATATAGTGGCTAGTTAGAATTTGTGTGTTTTGTTTTGCTTTACTGTCTTGTGAGTAAATACTTTCGGAATCACATCTGCTGTCTCTTTAATATTGCACAAGAGTGACTGAATAGTCATCGTCTGCTATGCCAAGAACTCCGAAACCCTTCAGCCTTTACTATTAATATGGTACTTTTGGTTATAGCTATTAATTCAACTATTAATCAGTGTTCCAAATTGATAGTTTGGTGTATTTTACAAGACTGATATCATTAACTGGCTTTCACTTTTCCCTTTTCAGGAATGGCACCCCACGTGATGATTGTAAATTAAGTCACATTATTTAACATAATTAATAGTTATTATAAATAATAATTATTTCAGACAACCATTTTGATACTTTGAACTACAAGTTCCTAATAACTGGAGATCTGTTACAAGGTCAGGTCTCAACATGGCCTTTCCAATAGCATCTCCATTTGACTTCACATAATGTACTTGCTAAACGCATTCATGCTCCACAGGGGGAGAACTTCCTTGAAATGAATGGAATCATGGTACTGTAGGGTGCGGTAGATCCTCAACACAGAATGTGTTCCTCTGCTAGCAAGTCATCAACAAAAACATCCCAGTAACAATGTGTTTTTCTCACACCTACATTTCTCATTACCCACTGAATACACTTTAACACCCCCAGTTCCTCTCACAAGCATCTGCTTTCACTTCCTTCCTCTGCTCTAACACACAAGTCTTCATCCTCACACCAGTCTCTCACTTCTCCTCCCATTGTCTTGATGCCTTTCATACCTGATAAATCCAGAGAGGTGTTGTGTTGCTTGTGCTCCTTTGAATTTGAATGCTGGTAATGAGTCCCAGCAAAGCATTTATAAGCTGATGTTGACACAGTTAGGATGAGGTGCAATGATCAGACCTTTGTCAGTGAATTTATGATGACTGAAAATGTTTCCTGGTACTTTCTGGCTTTTGAAAAATGTCTGAACTCCTGTTGAATTTGATGTACTTTGTACATTAGGCCAACAGCTATGAGAGTCACTCCCAGTCTTTAGAGTCTAAAGTGTGCTGCTGAAATATTACAAACTGTCTGCCTTGAATTAAAATGAATGGAAAACCTGAATAACAGCAACAACAGCTGATTTGGAGTGGAATTGGGGCGGTCCAGGACCCCCAGTGCTGGGGCTCACTTTGAGTTGCTACAGCTTTTAAGTGAAGGTCTCTGCAAAATTTGAAAACACCAATATGTGGCACTGAATTTGGTGAATTTCAGAGACCACAACTGAGATGGAAGTAAAGTAGCTAGTGCACCCGTGGTCCATCCACCTCAGCCCTCCTGCTAGACTACTTCACAGAAAGAGAGTGGACAGCAGCCCCAGAGAGGGAGCTACTGGCTTCCAGTCTGCTGTGACCCTTCAGTGCTAACATATTATTACTCTGGCGTTGGCAAATAAAAACACAATCTTCAAATACAGAATTCTGAAATTAACAAAGAGTGAGGGTCTTAGTCCAGAAATAGAAACAGGTCCAATGAATGAAAATAGTTTCCAGGCATTTCTGATGGTCATGTACTTCCGCTATTTTTTGCAAATGGCTTGAGTTCAGTCCTCCATCCACTGATGAGAGGCTTAATCTTTAGATATTTACATCTATGAATACAGTGTTTGCATAGTAGAATCAAATTGTTTATTAGAAACTCCAATTTTTTCTCACTAATAATTACTCCAGCTGTAATCAACATCACTTTTAAAGGGTGTATCAATATATCTCAGGCTCCCACTGGAAGAAAATATATTCAACTGCCTCAATACCCCTCTCGCAGACTCCACATGAATTGATGTCCCAGTTAAATCTTGCATGTAAAAAGTGACTGGATGGATAGATGTCATTCAAAATTTTAAATATCACATATTTGGCTTTTGGTAGGACTGGACAGGGTAAAAATTGTTCCTCATTTTCCTTGCCTAATTGTCACTGTACTCTTAAAGAACATATTTTCTTTTCAGCTGATTAGGATAATATTGTGATGAAAGAGCTTTTCTAATAAACTCAATACACAGTGGCCTCATTTCTGAAACAGTACTGGAGTACACCAACAGTTGTT